CTAAAATATATTACTCAAAGGAATTCAAAAACAATATTAAAAAAAAAAAATTATCTTCTGAAAAACTAGAAGGAAAAGAGCAAAGCAATGCATCCACAAGGAAACAAACACATCATATGTCCCGAGAATATGTCTAGAACTTAGAGAACATTCTAAGAACCCTTCATCAAATATCTGGAAAAGAAAAGAAAGTTAGCTAAAATATATTACTCAAAGGAATTCAAAAACAATATTAAAAAAAAAAAATTATCTTCTGAAAAACTAGAAGGAAAAAAGTGAAGCAATATATCCATAAGAAAACAGAAATATCATATGTCCCGAGAATATGTCTAGAACTTAGAGAATGTTCTGAGTACCCTTTAACAAATACTGGAAAAGAAAAGAAAGTTAGCTAAAATATATTACTCAAAGAAATTCAAAAACAATATTAAAAAAAAAAAATTATCTTCTGAAAAACTTGAAGGAAAAGAGCAAAGCAATGTGTCCACAAGGAAACAGACACATCATATGTTCTGAGAATATGTCTAGAACTTAGAGAATGTTCTAAGAACCCTTCATCAAATAATGGAAAAGAAAGAAAGTTAGCTAAAATATATTACTCAAAGGAATTCAAAAACAATATTAAAAAAAAAAAAATTATCTTCTGAAAAATTGGAAAAAAAAGAGCGAAGCAATGCATCCACAAGGAAACAGACACATCATACATCTGAGAATATACCTAGAACTTAGAAAACATTCTGAGAACCCTTCAACAAATGTCTGGAAAAGAAAAGAAAGTTAGCTAAAATATATTACTCATAGGAATTCAAAACCAATATTTAAAAAAAAAATTATCTTCTAAAAAACTGGAAGAAAAAGAGTGAAGCAATATATCCACAAGGAAATATACACATCATACATCCTGAGAATATGCCTAGAACTTAGAAAACATTCTAAGAACCCTTCAACAAATACTCAGAAAAGAATATAATTTATGAATTTACTTCAATCTTTTGTTCGCTCTTAAGTATAACAATAAGTAATAACAATAATCATATGCAAAGCTTAATACAAAGCTTAAAGTTTAAATCGATTATATATTACCTTATTTGGAAGTTATGATTGTCAAATTTTTTATTAAATATTTGATCGTTAAATTTTTATTTGACTTTGCCAAGCACTAGGTAAATCTCTCACTTAAGGATCTTGTGTCACTTGGTTCTTCAGTCTCGGTTCTGACTTTCAAATTTAGTCTTTCTTATAGCATCATCAAAGGTTTCAGCTATCTTCTTACTCGAGGCTTCCCAAATGGGTTTTTGGTTATGCTAGTTCCTTGGATTTATTGCACCAAAGCTCCCATTTCTAGATGGTGTAACCAAAGTTACAGATTTTAGATTAACCGATAAGTATAGCCATCAACTATAATACAAGTTTATTTTTCAACACTGTTATCCCTGGGATTTGAACTCTAGACCTGCCACTTGGAGAAGGTGATGACTAAACCACTACACTAAGTCGCTACACCTCTCATATAATTTATTTATAAAAAATTATAATGTATTTTTTCATAATAAATTGTACTAATTAAAAAAAAATTATTATTACAATGTAAAAGACTATTTATTTTATTTTATTTATTTATTTTAAAAAATTTTATGTAAATATATTCAAAACAACTAATATATATTTCAAAACTTGCTATATTGCAATTAATTACTTATTTACAATAAATTAAATCACTAACTTAAGAAAGAAGAACTCTGAAATTTTCTCAAACTTCAATTGCCACGATTAGTGATATAGGCTGACCCTGACCTATTGGCCGGGCGGGTGGGTGGGTCGACCCTCGACCCACAACTTTATGGGCTAGGCCGATTAAAGCAAAAATAACTTTTTAATAAAAAACTTTCTTGTATAAATTCACTTATACAGTATTACATAAATATTATTATAATTTATTTTAATATTTTACATTAAATTTATTAGCATTTACAATATAGAGCAAATGCTAATGAATGCTTATTTATAATTCTTTGCTCTTGCTTTTTTGGGCTTCTTAAATCATCAACCTATTTCAATTAAATACTGCCTAATTCACTAACCATGCCTATTTTGCGAATTTACTAATTCTCTCATCCTGATTGCTAATTATTCACATATCTATCTGTCTCTGATAGTAAAGTGGTAGGGAATTAGAGCATTCCTATTTCGCACGCACGCATTGTACTCAAACTGTGGTTTGGAACTACTAACCAAAAAAGTAAAATAATAAAATCATAGTCATTCATAAATCCTGAATAAGACTAACCCAAAAAGTAAAGTAATTGAGATTTATAGTCATGTATAAATTCTAAACGAAAGAAAAAATAATAACACTATAATTGGCAAGGTTGTATTAAAGACTGTGCAAAGAAATTTGAAACCTTCAAATTCACGTGAAAAAGAATGATTAGTATAAATAAAATTAGAATAAATCATCAAAATTAGGAAATAGATAGATTCAAAGCCCGTGCCAGAATTATTAAATTCTTTACTTCTTGAAATCTGTAAAATAGAATAGTAAGATGTAAGGTTTTGTAGATTTATAAAAGTATATAAATTAAATTAATTAAATACTTATTTCTGGTTATATGTTGTTTGATGGCGTATTATATATCTTTAAAATAAAGAACAAACTCTTCTTAATCTTTGCTTAAAATTTATAAAATTAAATAACCAGTTTCTCTCTCTTGACAATTACAAAAAAAAAAAAATGTTTAAAAAAAAATACAACACACGTTCTCAAAGAGAAGAAAAAGACCAAGAATACAATACTTCTAACCTTACAGAATCCTCGGATATAAATGATGCTAAATTATCTGAAAATTGGTCTAAAAAGATACATAAAATTAAACAATAAGCACAAGTGTCTGTAATTGAAAGTGAAGATGAAATCGACAAATCTCAAGCCAAGAATTTAATAATTTTGATTCTCCACTCCTCAATTTACTTCAATTAGCTTTTGAATCTAAAAACCAGCTTGAAACCTCAAATAAATGTTTCCAAAGTAAAACAAATAAGAATAATAGGCAGATTCTTCCTGATCAATCATTAAAAGTTCCAAATATAGAAATATTAACAAATAATGTTAAATCTAATTCACAACTATCGAATATTAGTTGGGTTTGGGGGTATATAAAAAAAGATAAGTTAAAAAGAGAGATCACATATGATATATATATATTATTAGACAGAAATAAAATAAAATGTAATAAAATTTTTAGTATTACAACCTCAACTACACATCTTGGCAAACACCTTAATACAGTTTATCGAATTTTTCCTCAAAAGGAATATAAAAAAGATTCACAAGGACAAACAATTATAAAATCAGATAAATCAAATCAAACAATAACCTCAATTTTTTAAAAATAGCTCCTCATAAACTGGAAAAACAAAAAAAATTGTTGTTCCATTTGGTGGCATAGATTGTTGAAGATTATCAACCTTTGAGTATTGTAAAAGAACAAAAATTTTAATAATTTTGTCATGAAATGGACCATTGCTTCAAAGTTCCAGGTTCAGCACTAATTAGAAATACAATTAGAGAATCATTGCCTTTTGCTGAACATCAACTATGTAAATTAATATCAGATACTATAGAAATATTTTCTTTTACCACAGATCTGTAGACAAGCATGCATCACCCTTATATTGGCGTAACTATATATTGGCTTTCAAAAAACTTCGAATTTCACTAGACAGTTCTTATTATTGAAGAATTTCCATATTCACACTCAGGAAAACATATAGAGCAATTTTTGTCCAAACTTTTTAATTATTGGAATATATATAAAATGTTGATCAGAGAAACCACTGATAATGATAAGTCAATTATAAAAGAGATGCGTCTTCTTAACACACCTTATATCCGATACACTGCCTATATAATCCAGTTAGCTATTAAAGATGGACTTAATGCATGTGATGACCTGTTAACTAAAGCAAAAAAACTAAACAACTGGCTAGTAAAAAAAGATCAATATAAACAAAGTCTTCATAATATTCAAAATGAATTTAATCAATTATCTGTAAATGATTCAGAAGACTTAGAATGGCCATTGTTAGGTAATGATGATAAGGTGGTTTGAAGTTACAATTTCATTTAACGTTCTCCCCCCACTGCCTTCAATAGCTCCCTCCTGAAATTAAACACCAATTAGAATGTCTGCTACATCTTTAAGATTTTAATAAATCATGTGACTACAAATCAACCAATAATAATGGTAGTTTTTTTGAGGTGTTATATAATGTTTGTTTAATTTGGCCCTCCCCCCACTGTGCTTAAGCTTCGAAAGGAACATTAAACGAAATTATAACTTCAAATGGCCTAATGATTCTGAATCAGAATCTGACAATACAATTGAGTCACCGATACAAACTGAACAAGTAAAAAAAAAAAAAGAAAGAAACCCATTGTTGAGCCTATTAGTGATGTAAAAACTAGATAGAATTCCATTTATTTTGTTCTAAAAAGGCTAGTTCAATTATAAGATGCTATAGAACAACTTGCAAAATCTTTAAGTCACCACTCTGACCAACAACAAAAAAAACATGGTCAATATTTGAGTGATAAATTATTGTCAAAATTTGAATGGAATGAGTTAGATGAATTAATATTGCTTTTGTTACCCTTTGCACAATCAACAAAATTAATTGGTGGCACACAATACCCCACTCTTGGTATGATGCTTCCTACTATTTCACTACTAACCTTACATTTGTGTCATATAAAAAGATCTCTTAAATCATCTGAAATTCTAAATGTTTGCCAATTAATTGAAAATTCTATCTTTGCTTGTTGGGAATCACCATTAATGGAGGCTTATATAGCTTCTTATTTAGATCCCAGTTCAAAAATTTATCTTTTACAAATAGTGAAAAAAAAAGAAGTTTTAGATGTATTATCCAAAATAATAAAAACAAATAATACTTCTATTAACACTCCAGCAAAAACTGAAATGAATCGGTTTTTTGATTATGTTGTTAATGATGAGTTAGAACGATATGAAAAAGTAACTCAAATGAACAAGTACTTTATTGACGATCCTCTTTACAAAATTCACAATCTCCTTACTTGGTGGTGCACAAACCAGAAGGATTATTCAAATCTGGCAATATTGGCTCATAAATTTCTCTCATTTCCAGCTACTTCGGTGCCTTTTGAACAATTATTCTTTGAGGCAGGGAATGTTCTTACCAAAAAATAGAATCATTTAGATCCAAATCTAGTTTATGATATATTATTTTTAAAGGCCAATTCTACACTTTTTAATGTTTATTCTGGACTTGAATAGAATTTATTGAAATTAATAATGTCAAAAACATAATATATAGATTAAAAAATTATATAAAATTTTAGCAATTTTTTAGTTAATTTCAAATACTTTTGCTTCGGTAAAGCTATAAAATAATTATTTGGTTAATTTCTGTAGAAAAAATCAAATAAACTAAGTATTAAAAGCATAAAGTTGAAGAGAAACTTTATTATCTTTATTGTATTACAATATTATATAATGTACATGTGCTTATATTTATAGAATTCTGCAATTTTATTGGATAAAATTTTTTTTGCAGGATAGTCAACCCGGTCAGCCAGGCTAAACTATTTTAGCTTCGGCCCCGGCCCGAGGTTTTATCATTGGCCTATATCACTAGCCGCAATAAAAAAAAATATTTAGTTGAATTATAGAAAAAGAAGAAAATATTTAGATAACCATACAAATACCAAAAGATAAAATCCACAAAGCAATATAAATCACACTAAAAATAGTTTCAAAGACAAAACCCTAACAAAGCACCAGAGCAATGATTGATAACTTCAAAATGGCTCCAATAATAATTCTAATAGCAATGGTTCCAAAGATAACAAAAAAAAAAGAAAAAAAAACATGTTAGTTATGCTTAAAACAAGAAAACTAAAGAAGCAAAAACAGGAAAAAAAACAAAGTAAAAAGATGAAGGTGAAAAAGAAAAAGAAAAAAGACAAAAAGAAAGAAAGAAAAGAAAATAAAATAAAAGCAAAAAAAAAAGAGTGAGTGAAAAAAAGAAGGAAAGGAGAAAACAAAATAAAAAAGAAAGAAAGAAAAGAGAAATAAAAAAAAAAGGAAGTTGAAAAAAAGAAAAAAATGTTAAATAAAGAAAATGAAAAGATGAAAAGAGTAATCAAAAAAAATATATATATAAAAAAAGTGTAAAAGTCTTGCTTGTCAGTATACAGATCCTAACTTTTTGTGTAATAGCGTATTTTAAAATTTTCAAATGATTATTTTCTGTGCAGTTTTCATGTAGCAATTAAGTTACTCGTGTTTATCCATATCTAATTCTGTATTTATGTATGTACTTATATGTACTGATTTCTTATAGAGCTATATGGTATTCAGGTTTGGTAATTAATAACAATGGGAATTTTCATTATAGATCGAGTATGTGGGTTTTCTTTTCATAATCATTGTTTTCTTTGCTAAATTTAATTGTGTATCTTGCATAGTATAGCTTTGGATCTTGAATCTATTCATTTAAAGTTTTATTGAGCCAACTATAAACTCAAGTATCAGATATTACAGTATTTTCTTTTACTGTTTATTTCTGATTGCTTTTTTTTTTTAATAAATAAGGCCTGAAAGTCCTGTTTTCTATCAGCTTTAGTTAAATAGATTTTTAAGGCTATAAAAATTTTACATATTGTATTTGATTCTGACTCTGCTTTAATCAGTGATAAATATCCATCATTGATATATTTCCATGTAAATCATTTATATCAGCATTTATAATTTATCATGCTGTTTTACTTCATTGATTGATTTGCATGCTTCAATATGCAGGTTGCTTGGATCAGGCTTTACTAAAATCAATGTGGTTCCTAGTCATGTGCTGTATATATATATATATATATATATAGCCAGTTTTCTATTGCTTGTCAGAGAAATAATAGTGTTGGGGAAGTGACTTTGTCAGAGAAGTATTAGTGTCAAAGAAATAATAGTATTAGGAAAATAGTATCAGGGAAATGAGTATTGGGAAAGTGATTTTGTCAGAGAAGTAATTGCCAGGGAAGTGATAGTGTTGGGGAAATTAGTGTGCTAGGGAAATAAGTATCAGGGAAATAAATGTCAGGGAAGTGACTTTGTCAGGAAAGTGACTGTCAGGGAAGTGATTGTCAAGGAAGTGATTGTCAAAGAAATGATATGGACCCTAATTTATATATAGCAATTAAAAAAAAGAATATTAAATAATTTCATAATTAAAAAGCCTGGTTATTAAAGTTGATATGTTTAGTAAAGTTAAAAAAAAAAAACAACTTATAGTAAAAATAATATTTATGGTATAAGAATCTTATAGTGTCTGCTAGTTTATTATGAAATAACGATCTAAGAAAAAATTCAAAACAAAGTTTTTGAAATTGATTACTAAATTTTAAGCACGTAAAATTACACAAATAATCTGCAAATAGATTGATGTAAAATTATTAACCAATCAAATTTGACGACAATTTTACATGCATAAGAAAGGCGTAAAATTAAAATTTCTAGGGTTCCTGCCTGGGCACGATATAAGGGCATGCCTTGGAGTATTTACTTAATTTGCGTGAGAAACACAACCTGAAAAGGAAATCGAATTTTGTAAGTAAGTGCGAAAGATATAAATTTAGGGTTAGGATGTTAACATTAGAGGCTATAGCAAAAGATAGTTGCTTATTGTGTGTAAAACTTGTTTCCAACATTTTTAAGCAATCGGAAAATGTGTACCAGGTTGGTGGCGTCTACAAATCAGATTTCATAATGTAACACGAAAGCAAACGTTCATTCTGCCAAAAATCACCCAAGAACCACCTTTTGTGCTCTAACAAAAAGTTTTTATTGGACAATTTTACTATTAAATCTACTCTCCACTAACTCTTACCCTGACCCTACCCTAACCTTAACGAATTTTAAGAATTTTGCCTGCGCCACCAACCTAGTACGTACACACTTTCCAATTTCCATTTTTAATTAGTGTGCCAAGGTTGATTTAAACACTAGCGCTAGTTTTTGAGTATTTTCGCATTTGTCTTCTTTCACAAGTGTTCGGAATTCATGTCGGGATATTCAAATTTTGTTCACTCCAATTGGCTAATTCCTTTTTAGAGGCTTGTATTACTGCCTTGGACTAATAAAGAGTTTGATTTTACGCTATCGCTATACCTGATACGTATTTCGATCTAATTACGAGGGAGTGATTTTTTGTGAGAACTACCAAATGGAACACCATTGTTTTAGGAAATTTGTTTCAAAAATAGTAGTCATGATAGATTGATAATGGGATAACGCCTTTTGTTCCAATAATGTGCCTATGTAAGCCGAATGATGTTCCAAAATTTGTGCTGGCTTGTGGTACAGATTTCTTGAATTACGAATCAGATTTTGAAATCAGGAATAAATGTAACACAATCAAGAACAGCGTTGGCCATTTTAGATCATATCCAACTTTATTATTACATGACCAATATGGTCATAACCAGGGTTGTAAAATTACGGTAATTTATTGGTAATTTACTGTAAGTTACCGTGAAAGTAATCTATGTTTATTCAATTACGAAATTTTCTGATAATGTTCGCACTTTCAAATGAGTATTTGGTAACCTACCATGATAACTTACCGTAACTTATCGCGGTAACTTACCACGCTAAGTTAATTAACAACCCTGGTCATAACGTAATACGTAGTATATAAATTATAACGGGTCATCAGGTCATAATTATAGTTTGGTGAAACTGGTGAAACTCTTAGTGAATGGTGATCAGGTCATAATTATAGTTTGGTGAAACTGGTGAAATTGCCAATCAGGTTTTAGATAGTCACTAGTTTCACAAGCTTCTATAGTCATAACCTATTTTTGGTCATAACAGATCATAGGCCAAAGCAGGTTTTCGTTTGTCCAAGATTACTTATTTCTCAAAAATTTATATAAAAAGATGCATTTAGTGCTTCAATAAAGTTTTCTTAGAATAGTATCGTTCTGAGAAAGTTTTTATGTAAATTTTTGAGAAATAAGTAATTTTTGACAAGCGGACACTTGCTTTGAGTTTCCCTAATTGTGTCACATTAATGCCTGAGTTCGAAATCTCGTACGTACGTACGTACATACGGTGCAGACTCAATATTCTATGTAGGAGTGATACATAAACTAGTAGCACATCAAAAATAAATTTCCTAAATTATCGACCTCAATAAGCGAAGGGAAGAAATCTCTTTGCATAAAAACAATAAGCAAAAAACAATATATATATAAATAGCATGCATTGAGAATGACAAATTTAGTTTATCTTCAATCTATATAAAGTGATTGAAGTTTTTAGGTTTCCTCGACCGTACGTACGTACGCAATGCACATTATCGGGTTAATGATGCACCCGTTATCAGCTTATTGTAGCTACTATTTTTGGAACATATTTTACCTAAACAATAAAACACAAAACAATACGTAAAACACAACTTGGGTACCTATGGTACACCGTATAATTCAATATAATCCAGATAGTTTGTATAATAATCCCTGTAGCCCACTGAAAACAACTGCTGTAAAATAACAATTTTATAGGTTGAATTAAACGAGTATTTATATTTCTCGAATATGGTACGTAATGATAATGCTTTATTGAATATTTTATAAATAAAAATTCTAACCATGTTTTGTTTTAATTAAATATGAAAGACGGACCAAACTACTAAGTATGTTCTTTCTATTGATGGAGGAGGGATTCGAGGTTTAATTCCAGCTTTAATACTTGAAGAAATTGAGACACAAGTGACGGAGAAAGTGAAAGCACGCATTAACAAGCAAGAAGTGGATGTTAGAATCGCCGATTTATTTGATTTCGTGTCTGGCACATCAACAGGCTCTATAATTGCCTTAGGACTCGTAGTTTCGGACGAGAACAATCGTCCCAAGCTTAAAGCAAGTCAAATTGTAAAGATCTATAGAACAGAAGGAAATAAGATTTTTTCGAAAGGATTTCTGTCAAAATTTCTTCCTGTACCTTTGCTATTTCTATATGATCCTAGCGGCATTGAAGAATTATTACGTACAAACTTTGGAGATAAAAAAATCATCGATAGTGATATTGTAAATGGCATCAAAGTGCTTATTCCATCTTTCAATATCACTCATAATAAGCGTGCTTTTTTTACCAATTATATCCTTCCCAAGGATGAGAATGAAAAGCCGGCACAGGATGAGCGTGAACAGAAGAATCGGGAACGGAACTATGCGAAAAAAGAAGCCTACATGCGAGATGCAATAAGAGCCAGTACAGCTGCACCCGTCTACTTTCCCAGTGCGCGTATAGAGATTGAAAATGGTGTAGTAGAGGAGTTTATAGATGGCGGTGTTGTTATGAATAATCCATCAACTAAAGCTTATACCGATTCAAAAAGATATTTCGAACGTGAAAATCCAAATCATAAAATTGTAATGTGCTCTTTTAGCACGGGGTATTTCAAAGAGTTACCAAAAAGTCTAGGAAATTCTACCTATCGGTGGGTAAAACCAATTATTTCTCTTACGATGACAGAAGAAGGTATATCGAATAATAATATTATGCAATCCATATCGAAACTTGATAAAAAAAATTTAACTTACCATCGATTCACTACGCAACTCAATCGGAGGATCGAGTTAGATTCAATGCAAACTAAAGATATAGAAGAATTGGAAAATGCGGCTAAAAAAATTATGCAAGAGAAAGAGTTTTCTGATTTAGTAGATGATCTTTCAAATCACTATATTGCAAAAATGCCAAAAATAAAAGATAATCAAAAGTAGTATTTCACTTTATAGTTTATAATTAAAGCAAATCGAAGAATTAGCAACTGGATGGAACGAACTTTTTTATATAACCGGATATGACCTAAATAACAAATTATTTTAGTCATATCAAATTTTTATGTAACCTAAATATAGTTAGTAAATATTCTGATTGGTCAATTATTTACAATTGTACAGCCTAGCCTAACCTATATGTAGTCCCAAGTTCAATATAATTACTTTTGTAAATTTACCAATTTTTTTACTATAATTTTTATCTCTATATAAGCATATTTGAGCAGTGATAATTTTAGTAACAAAATTTGCGCACACTTTTTTTTGAATGGATGTGCGGATGCCGCACAGCATTTTGCAAGTAGTGCGCACAGCTGCAATTAGTTGAAAAATTAACACTACATTTGAGTCACTAGCACAATTTTTTATTAATCATCTATATAAAGCCACCTCTATATAATTACATTATAAATATTTTGTTTTTTAAAATGATCAAACATCGTAGCAACATATAAAAGTTAAAAAATTATATCAAGTAAATCAATGATATTGCTTTAAATAAGGTCATATATTTGTTTTTTAGCTTTGATTTTAAAATTTTTAATATTCTATGAAAAGATTTGGTTTATACCTATTTTAATTTTTATTTATAAACCTTTAAAAATTGTATATTTTATTTGCTGATTTAAGGATGCCTGCGCTGTAATTACCGTATCCTGCCGTGAATAAGCACCCACCTTTTTCAATTTTCATATCCAAGTTTCTCATGATCTAGTGATCGGATCTGTACGATTTTGGTACAATTCGAATCGTTTCGACGTGCTGATTCGAATAATACCAAAATCACACAGATCTGATCACTAGATCATGAGAAACTTGGATTAGAGGTTGGAACCGGTTTTAAATATTCGAGTTTATCACATCAAAATTCGAATTTATCACTCCAAAATTCGAGTTTATCACATCAACCATTAATAATTGATGTGATAAACTTGAATTTTGGAGTGATAAACTCGAATTTTGATGTGATAAACTCGAATATTTAAAACCGGTTCCAACCTCTAACTTGGATATGAAAATTGCAAAAGGTGGGTGCTTATTCACGGCAGGATACGGTATGTTAAAAAAAATACATAATAAAAAAAAAAATAATAAAAATAATAATAAATAATGCCTGGGAGCCCTTTACAAGGGTTAGTAATTAAAATAACTATACTATTGTAATTATAATTTATTATGAAATTGTTATAAAACTGCATAATAATTATATATTTATTTGCTTATAAAACTAATTGTAAAGCTGCATAGTACGTATTTATAAATACCAGCATGATTATATAAAAGGAAATCGCATTGTAAATAAACTAAGAAAGTTTAGGATTAGGACGTTAGGGTTAGCGTTAGGGTTAGTGTTAGGGTTGTGAGCTTTT